CAGCATTTCACAGGAGATATACAAGATGAGAATCAGCAGCAAAACCCAAGGCTATAAATGCCCACATGAACTTCATTGTCCAAATTGAAACAAAACAACAACAAAAAATGTGTGAACATAAATACACATTTATATACATATACATATAAACACACACATCTATATGTATATGTGTGTGTTTGTGTATGATGGTCATTTTACTGACACTGATCTTTAAAAGATAGTGGGACAACATGACAAGAGCCAGTAAAGAAAAAATGAGACCTTGATTTTTTTTTTAAAGGAAGAGAAAAAGGTTAGGAAACTCTAGGTTAGTGACCTTAATTTTTAAATTTGGCAAAATTACATAAATTATTAAATTGGAAGGGATTGCAAAGATGCTGTGTGATAGAGTGATACTTAGGATTCAAAGTTATTTGATAGGTAAAAATGACGAACTGAATCTAAGTGGATGAATTTAAATGGGACACATATAAAGTTCGACATTTGTGTTAAAAAGAAAAAGTTTAACAAGTAAAAGATGAGGATTGCATAGTTAGAGAATGCCGTGTCTGAAAAAAGTGTAAGTCAATAATGTGACATCACAGTCAAAAAAGTGTTGTAGGATGTATTAGGAAAGGCAAGTGCCCAGGTCAAGGTAGGTGATAGTTGTGCTTTATTCTGGACTAGGTAGACTACATCTGAAACTTTTTGTTCTGTTTGATGGACATTGACAAACTAACGTACAATGAGGATGTTGAAGAAAGACCACGCCACGTGAGGATGGGATAAAGAAACTGAGGGTATTTAATTCGAAGTTCAGAGGACTTCACAAGGGCATGGAGTTGGAAGGAGCCTTAGAAGACATCTTATCCAATTTGAATCTAAACAAGAATCTTTTTTACAAGTCACCAAACAAAAAACCAGTCAACTTTTGCTTGAAGTTCTCTAGTGAGGTCTTAGGACTAATTAACTTTCCACCTAAACCCTCATCTCTTCTGACCTTCACTATTACCCTGTAGGGTACCACCATCTTCCCAATCACCCAGGCTCATCCAATCACCCACAATCTTGATGTAATCAACTCTTCACTCACGCTCATCACATATGTCAAATCTTTTGCCAAGTCTCATTTCTACCCTCATAAGATCTCTTCTATAAATCTCTCTACTCACAAAGCTACCACCCTGTGGCCGTCATCAACACACTTCATGACTCTTGCAACAATTTTCTAATTAGTGTCCCTCTCATCTTTACTCATTCCACCCTCCACTCAACTGCCAAAGTGACCTTCTTAAAGCACAGGTCTGACTTCCTCCTGAGGTGGGCAGCTAGGTGGCACAGTGGAGAGACCACTGGACCAGGAATCAGGATTATTTGAGTTCAGATCTGGTCTCAAACTTACTAGTTGTATGAGCCTGGGCAAATCACTTAACTGCTGTCTGCCTCAGTTTCTTCAACTGTAAAATGGAGCTAATAATAGCATCTACCTCCCAGTATTGTTATGAGGATCAAATGAGATAGTATTTGTGAAGTGCTTGGCATAATGCCTAGCACATAGTGGCCATTTAACAAATGCTTCCTTCCTTCCCTCCTTCACTTCTTTCTTTCTTTCTTTCTCCCTCTCCCTGCCACATACACTTAATAAACTCCAACGATTCCTTATTAATTCCAGGATCAAATATATACAGGTATTTAAAGCCTTTTATAAGTAGGCCTCTTCCAATTTTTCCAATGTCCTTACATTTTATTCACCTCCATATATGCTATGTCAGGGGTGGGGAACCTGTGGCCTTGAGGTCACATGTGGCTCTCTACATCCTCAAGTGTGACCTTTGACTGAATCCAAACTTCACAAAACAAATCTCCTTAATAAAAGGATTTGTTCTATAAAACTTAGACTCAGTCAAAAGGCTGTACCCAAGAACCTAGAAGGCCACATGTGGCCTTGAGGCCACAGGTTCCCCATCCCTGCTCTATGTTATAGCTGTGCTGGCCTACTAGCTGTCCCTCATACATAAGACTACATCTCTTGACTTTGCATGGGCTATTTCCCATGCCTAGAAAGCTCTTCTCTTTCAACTCAACCTTTGAACTTCCCTGATTTCCTTCAGAACTCAGCTCAAATCCCACCTCCTGCAGGTGATTTCTCCTGGTGCCCCTCCTGCTCCATCCTTCACTCCTGTTCTTCTAGTATCTGCCTTCCCCCCAATAGTGCCTTTCAGCTAATCTTGTGCTTACCTAAGTTATTTACATGTATTTTCCACCATTAAAATGTGAGCTCCTTGAGGACAGGGATGGTGTATTGGCCTTTCTTTGTATCCTCAATGCTTAGCACAGATTCTGGAACCTAGTAAAATGCTTACTAAATTCTTGTGGACTGACATTCCAATCCCATATTCTTATGCCTTTCCACCGAATCCTGTACTCAAAGATTTCAAAGAACAGATCTGGAAGGGGGAGAAAATGGATAACACATTGTTACCCACTCATCATCATCTTGAAGCCCCCAAAAGGAGAGAATAGTTCTAATATGTAAGAGGTGAGATGTTTCTTATATGAAAGGGAAAAGTGAGAAGCGACCTGGGAGGGGGATGCCATATCTAGAAACAGATTTGAAGGACTTTTCTTCCCTTTCTAGTCAGCTGTAAAGAATATCTTTTAATAAATCTCTTTTGGACTCATAAGTTGCTAGTGCAAATGTTGAGTAATTCAAAGTAATCATTTATTTGGTGAGATATTTGCCACCAAATGAAGTGAAATGGGTAGAAGTAGCTGATTATGTCTATTTGAAAACTTGAACTTACAAAGAAAGCCCTCATTCCAAATTCTACAGTAAATGGCAGTTATTCAAAGATTCAGTCCATTATCTTACTCTGTTGAGTTCTTTTTGGATCTTGACCTTTGATCTGGTGTTAGCTGTTCTTCCCATTTTTGATTCATATATAAATCTAATAAGCGCACTATCCACGCTTTCATCCAAATCGTTGATAAAAATGCCGAAAAGAACAAGGTCAAGGACAGCTCCCTGGGGAAATTCACAAGCAAACTCCTTCCAAGTGGACTTTGACCCATTCATGATGACTCTTTTGGTCTAGCCATTCAACCAATTCCAAGTTTAACTGTACTGTTATCTAGTCTGTGACTCTTCACCTTTTCCATAATTACAGACAGCATAAAAGGCTTTAGCAGATGCCTACGCCTGCCTGTTAATTTGGATGGTAGCTGGTAGATTTTCCTCCCCTCTATCCTACCCGCAAGTCCACACATATAATAGCTGTCTTAAAATATTTAAAGCACTGTTTCATGGAAGAGGAGGAACTCTTCCTAGAACTAGGTGGAAAAGGGAGAGATTTCATAAGAGTAAACTTGGGTTTGAGAAAAGAAAAACTTCCTCATATTGAAAGCTGTCTAATAGTGGAATGGGCTGCCTCAGGACCCAGAAAGTTGCTTTTCCCTGCAAATTTTCAAGCACAGGCTGAATAACCAAATGGACATTTGTTGGCAATGGTGGAAAGACAATTCTTGTTCAGGTACAGTTGTTCTAACTGATCTCTGAAGTCTTTCCAATTGTGAGATTCTGTGAGATGTTACAATTGGATCAAATGAGATAATAATATGTTTAAAAGGCCCTTGCAACTATAATGTGCCATTTTAGAAATTTAAGCTGCTATTATTATTTTTAAGCATGGGAGTAGGTCCTGGAGCCATGACTTCACTGATAGAGGAGACACCCTCCACCTTATAGTCTCTGAGAGTTGCTTAAGTGACTTGTCACAGGTCTTCCTAGCTTCGAGGCTAGTTCTCCATCCACTATGCAATGCTATCTATTAATACTGTTTTTATTATATAAACATCCAAAATAAATGGATCCTAGCAATCAGCTTTATATGTTTTTCCAAAATTCCAAAATTTGACTCTTGTTCCTTCAAAAATGTCTTTAATAAGATACATGGATTATATATGGGCTTGCAGATTTTTTCAAAAATGCTTCTTTAATTTTAAAAACTTTGAGGAAGAGAAAGAAATATGACTCGTACTCCCATTTCAGTAAAAAAGAAAATGCCAGCCTTCTTAGAACAGGCCTCACCATGGAATGGATTTAAACCTCCCCTGCTTTTTGATTGTTAAAAGCTGTTGCTTAGCCCATATCTAAAATACTCTTGCTTAAAGAGGAGAGGCTTCCTTTTCTTGACCATTCCTATTAACTTTATTCCCATTCATGGGGGCAGAGGTTATACTGAAAAGTCAATTGAATCCATTCTTCCCTTTTCCTAGAAATCATGCTCCCTATTGTCAAAATGCCTGGAACAGAAAGCATGAGTGTAAGCTCCTAGGCCCCTCCCCTTCTAGTCTTCCACTTAAATTACTCATGAAACTAGATGAGATCATCCTAATTACACTGAATACTGAAGGTCAGTGCACTAAATTAATGCATCAGGGTATTTCAAAGAAGCCTATGACCTCCCCCTTCTCTATTATAATTTGGTCAGTGAAAATGATTCTCCCCTCCTTACCTCCAATATATTCAATAGACATACAGCAAAGAACAATTGGGAGTACTGAAACATGTAATTAAGTACAGCTTAAAACTACTCTGTTCTAATTAATAGAGCCAATTTGCACAATATGTAATCTTTTCAGTTTCTTAGTATGGCAGAATGGTCTTCAGTAGGCAGCTCTAATCTTCTCAAGCACAGAAAAAAAGCTGTTTTCTAACTCTATTTTCCTTTTAAAAGCAGGGGCTAAATGCCAACCAGTGTTTGGCATGTTACCTTCACTGGAGTCAAATCTGAAGTTCTGGCAAAGGGCTTGCTGCTGTTGGGCAGCCAGCCAACTCCACTAGGGACAAACGTAACCAACATGCTGATATTGTGCAAGAGAAAAACTTGGAAATAAATAAGGATTGGGGTCCCTTCCCAACAAACAGAGGTGGTTTTGAAATGAAAGCTTAACCTTAAATCCCATCATTTTAATCAGTCATGAGGCTCTGCTTTAGAAAATGACCAATGAAAACATACCTTTGCATTTATTGGTTGTTTTGTCCAAAATTGCCTTTGTGGAGACGATTTTTCCATATCTGAAAAAAAAAGTGAGAAAATCAAAGTTATATTCATGGAACCCTTTAAAAACAACAAAACTCACTGAGTACATTTTTTTCATCATTTTGGGACATCTGTCTGTTTATGTTACAAAATTATGTACAAAAAAGATTTTTCTCAGGGATAGAATTTGAGCTCAATGATCTTAGAAAATCATGGCAAGACTTGCATGAAACAACAAAGAGTGAAATGAGCAGAGCCAAGAGAACATTGTATACAGTAACAGCAATATTGTTTTAAAAAAGACTTTGGACAAATAAGTCATTTTGACCTTTATAAATACCTAAATTAAGTACAAAGGATATGCGAAGATGCTATTTACATCCAGACAAAGAACTGATAAATAGAAGTACGTATAGAATAATTTTACATAAATATACTATTTGGGTCTAACAGTACCCATCTCTAGGGCAGGAGAGGGGGAGAAGGGAATAAAAAGAAATTTACATGAAAACTTTATTATATATTTAAAAGGAATAGTAAGTTGTACATAATGGATTTGCAGTTTCATATGCCATCACCTTTTTGATTATACTATATTATGGAAATGCTTTACTACATAAATTTAAAAAAATAAAAAATAAAGCATAAATCAAAATTAAAGTTGGGGTATAGTGGTACATGTCTACAATCCCTGCTGCTAGAGAGGCTGAAGGCTGGCAGATTGCTTGAGTCTGGAAGTTCTGAGGTGCAGTAGGGCTAAATCTCAACCAAGTTCTGTCTGACATTAATATAATAAGCCCCTAGAAGTAGGGAGCCATCAGGTTACTTAAGGAGGTTCCCAGGTCAGAAATGGAGCAGGTCAAAACTTCAGTCCTGATCAGGCCCTGAACTTCCAGCCTGGGTCACATATCATGCCCCAACCCCAAAAGAAAATAAATCAGAGCTAAAATGAAATGAAATAGGTTGGCTTCAAATTTGACTCTACAGTTTCTATTCTGAAGTTTAGTTTTGAAGGAGGAGATGCTTTGCATGTCAACCCTGGGACAACAGCACGACATTTAAAGGGAATATAAGGCTTTTCAAGATATTTTGTTATAGTAATGCTGTCAAATTATACAGCCAGGGAACTGAAAACTCTCTGTCTAGCCATTATGAAAAGGGCACCCCTAAAATGTATTCATTTCATTGCTACAGCAGCTCATGAGTCCAATGTATAGACCGATGTATACAAGGAATACAGATAGAGATTAAATCACCTATTTTTTTATATCTCATATACAGACAAGACTAAAATATTCGTAGACACTTAAACAAAGCCCAATTTTTCTCAGACACACCCACAGTAGACCATTTAAAACAGATCTTTCACATATATAGAACAGAAATAATGGATGGTAGAATGTGTTAAAGATTCTTAATGTAATCAATAATGCAAATAGACCAGTGGGGAATCATTCATTTCCCCAGTTCAGTGAAAAGTGTTCAAATTCCTCAGTGTGCTATTAAAAAAAAAAGCAAATGAAGCTTTTTTTTTTAAAGATGAAATTCAAGAATTGAATTTTAACATATAAAGCCGCACTTAATTACTCTAAAGGACAAAGAGCCCAATCTGGAGAAAAAATGCTATTACTGTGCGATCTTTATAGAATGAGGAACTCCAGACTGTTAATAGAGCAAAGATCACAAAAAATAAGAGTTGGAGATCAGTAAGTCCAATGACTTAATTTTACAGATAAGGAATTAGTGTTCATTAATACTATAACTTCTCACAGAGGAAATATGGATAAGGCCTAATAGCTACATTAAGTTTTAAATAAAATTACATTTAAAGATATACATTTGACAATATTTTTTAAAAAAAGAAAAGCATTTTCAAGTTTGAAATACAACTGATGTGGGACCCATCCCAGGTAACTGATTGATGTGGTACAAAAAGCATTAGACTTAGAAAGTAGAAGAGATTTGGACACAAAATTGAACTCCAAGCAAATAATCTTTAGGGGCAGGGTGAGTCAGGAGACCTTTCTGGCCTTCAGGTACCTCATCTGTAAAATGGGGAAAATAATAATTGTGCTACCTACCTCACTTAGTTTATGAAGCTCAAATGAGACAACCACCAAAGACTCTATAAACGTGTCATTATTTTTATTCGTATCTCTGGGCCCTATGGGAGATAGGGATAAGGGTGAGGGAAGGGGAACCATGTAATTTCTAATGTCTCTTTATCTGTACTTTCCTATTTATTAGCCCTTGACATTTTATATCACCCCTTATTGTGTTCTTATGATTTATTTTGAGATCTAGAGAAATGGAATAGGTGCTGAACCATTCTGATTGATGCAGTGTTCAATAACTTTAATTTTTATAAATGTTAAGAGATTGTATGAATGAATGAAAAATGAACAATGGTTTGCTAAGAAACAGCTACTTTGACCTATCAATAGTTTCTTCCCTCTCCCTCCCCCTATTTTATTTCTGTGTTGACATATAGCCATATGATTATTGTCTAGGCATGAAAATGAAATTAATATGAGAATTAAATAATTCAAGAGGCAGTAGTATATAATCTCTAAATTCTCTGTGGAAATTCTAAGAATTCATAAAAATACCACCATATACACCACTATACCAAAAAAAAAAAAAAATTAAAAAAATAAATCAAACCTAAAAGGAAAATTCACTTGGACACTCATTACCAATACCACAAAATTTCAGTCAAGTCTACAGAACTTGTAGGTAGCTTATTTCGTTGGCAAATACACATGCACTACTTGGAAGCCAATACAACTGTATTGGTTATATTACTCAACTGGTTTGGTTCATGCTTTACTCCCAAGTCAGGTATATTTCCTATGGGGAATAGGGAAGTAGTACCATTCTCTGACAAGTATTTACTAAACATCAATTATGTGCCAGGCATTGTGCTGTTCACTAATCTGAATGACAAAGGCAAGGTAGGCAAACACCAACATTTCAAAGACCAGGTCATAGACTATTTTGGTTTTTTCAACATCATATAACATCAGAGGCTGTTAGAGTAGAGAGGGATCTCAGAAGACATCTGCTTTAACTCCCATATAAAGGTGAATCTCTATGACAATTCTGAAAAGTGACCATTTGGCCTCTATTGAAGACTTATTTGAAACAAGTCTGCATGTACTTAGCCAAATTGAAGCCATGTTTTGTCAGGTAGTTCAGTGGCCAATTCAGATGCCAAGAAACATTGAATGATAATTGTTCATTGACTATAACATAAGTATTACACAAACTTAATATGAATTTAACTAAAACTTAGTCTTCTTATAATCAAGTCCTTTGTCCCAATTCTTATTGGATTTGTAGAATGGAATGTTAGTTAAGCCTGTTTGACTTGATTCAGATATTCAGACAAACAAGCAATAAAAGTGAATGAAGGGTCTTATTTACTTTGTGCTTAACTATGAAGGGAAAGCTGTTACCTGTTTTAAAAATTTTTTAATTATTTACTTGTTTATTCTCATAGTAAACATTTAAGATCTTTTCCTTAAAGGAAACATTAGCAGGTTTCATGTCTATAATCTTTGGTTCCATTTTGTTTAAGATTTTCTAGGACTGTCTCTAAAAATAATGATGGCTTTGTAGGCAATAGGAAGGATCTTGTTCCAGTCTCGCTGAGGTTGAAGTAGACAGGGTCATGGTATATGGATGGAGAAATGAGTCTTTTTCATTCACATGGAAAATATTTTACCTCAGAACAAAAGAGTAAGGGGAAAGTAACTATAATTACCCTCCCTAGGTTCCATCTCTCCCTTTTCTCCAAACTTTTTAATATGACCCATTATGTGCCTTTTAAAAGTGTGTGTCCATGTGCACATATGCACTCACACTCCCCTAACCCCCAGACATAAACATCAAATTTACTATTTACATTTTATCTAATAGTTTAAAACAATAAAACCAAGACATAAAGAAGTATTTATGATGTATCAGTTGTGTGAAAGCTCTCATTCAAAGTTAACATTAACTATCACTGCAACTGCAGACATCTCAATTCTGGAAACACAATCCTGCTATTCAATTCTCAGGACACCAACTAAAGTAATTTCTTGAGAATTAGCTCCATGTTTCTTTGAATATAGGGATTAACTCTGTTCTCTTAGGAAATAAGTTCTTTTAGCATTCTTTCTCTGACCCCTCTTCAGCCATCACAGGTAATAGTCCTTGTAGAAAACAAATAAAACTCTACAGTAACAGTACCTATATGTCTGTGGTTGTAGCAGGTGATTTTCAAGATACAAGCCAAAAAGAAAAGTCACTGCCTTCTATGAACTTGCACCCAATTCCCAATTAAATCAAGTGGTCCACTGACTTTTCCTCTTATTTTTCTTGACTATGCTTTGTGAGATTCCCTCCTTCCTTTGCTTCCTGTTGCTTTCATAGTTTCTGCCTTTATATTACAACACTATCATTTTCTCAGTCTTCAGTCATCTTTGATTCATCCCTTTCCATTGTAGTCACAAATTCTATTGAATTATCCTTTGAAACACCTACCTCTCATATATATCTACTTCCATCAACATTCTAATCTAAGCACCCAATATATCAGTCTGGACTACTTCAATAGGCCTATACCTGATCTTTGAATCAAGTCTCTCTCTATCTCCAATCCAATCTGCATACCATTGCCAGATTAATCTTTTATTATGCTACCTACCATGCTTAAAAAAAACAAACAAACAGTACTTGAATGGACAACTTTTCCGATTGCATCAAGTGAAACTCCCCTGCCCTACAAGACTCTCCATAACCTAATTTTATCCAAACAATTCAATCTTATTGTTCACTGTTCCCCAATATACATCTTCTGCTTTAGTCCTCCCACTGTCATACAATGATATCATCTTCACTAAAATTGTCATCTTCGTTTGAAAAGTTTTTAAAGCCCTTTCTCCTCCTTCTATCCACATTTGCTATGTATTTTGAAGGTTGATCTTAAGCCCTACTTTTCCTCCAATTCTGACTTTCCTGACTGCCCTATACCTCATTTGCAAAATTA